AGAGGATTGACGTTCTTTAGTACCGTCCCTTAAATACAGGACACGAAAATCAGTTATTGCATTTCCACTGCACTCTAATTGTAATGTGGAAAACCTACAATGTGATCATTGCCTAACAAAACTGATACTTTTCTGAAACAGATTCGCGTGTGTGAAAATTATATTGTAACTACTTTAGTAAAATTGCTCTCATCATCGAGCATCCTTATCTTCATCATTCTCCCTTATCTTTTAACTCATCTTACATTCCTATCACACAAAAAAAAACAATTGTGTCACTGTCACTGCTGGGTAAATTCTAGATACAATGTCAATCGTAATAATTTGAACTCTGTGTACAAACATGAAAATTAGAGACGTGGAAATTAACACGATATCTGATAGTTCTTGTTTTGAAGCTTGCAATGTGTGTAATTTGACATGTACCCAGGAGAATATTATTACTAGAAACAACGTTCAAACTATGTATATGTTATGTCTATATTCAGTATTTGGGTAGACGCACTAAATATATTTTCTTTTTTCGTTTCGTTTACTTGATCTTGGGTGAGAGTCCGATATGAAAGATAACACCACTGCCACCACAACCATCGCCACCACCACCACCACCACCACCACCAGTGCAATGTATATTTTCAAAGCAAATTATATGAAATTGAACAGTTTCGGAATTAAAATATTTACAAACATCACAACATCAAAATTATCTCGTGTTAAGTGGGGAGAAATTTGCGCGTGATACACAAACTACGTATTGAGAAATGCAAATGGAAGTGCTAGAAATGGTTAGACGATTTTATTATGTTTACTATGTTATATGGGAGAAGAAAAAGTAACTGGAGTATTGGTACCATTTCAAGAAAAGAAAGAAAGCTAAACTACCCTATCATTTACTGTTACACACTGCATTGCCCAGAATTCAAGGCTAACCTCGTCCACCATTACATCTCTAAACTAAAAAAAAAATATGGCATTTTTTAAAATCCATTAGCATTTCCCATATGGATGGAAAGAAAAAATATTTCGCCAAAACATGACTTGCGTAGTCTTTTAATAACTTTGGAATTTGGCGCCAGATAGCTAATGTTCATACACGATTTAATTAAGCTTTATACACTAATGTTCAGCTACAATACATTCGTCTGACGATAAGAGGCATCCAAATAGACAATATCTTGACATTAATCGATAGTCAACCATCATTATGTTTGATTCGTAATACCTTTGTTTGAATTTCATTTCTTTTCATGTTATCTACACAGATCGATATTATACTGTCAATATTAAAGGGCTGGAATTAGGAATAACTACTTAGCCATTCTTTTGAATTGTTGCTTACTGATGTCCCTATCACTGACTTCGATGAAACTACGAAAATTAGGATGAAACACATTTTACATTTCTAATTTCGCGCATGCCCGTTGTTCGCTTTTTATTTTGATGACCGGATTCACTCCTTAAAACTATGAGCGAACAACGAAATATAATATTAGGAAATTTACGAGTATAATATCTGAACTCTCCCTCTCATATATATATATATATATATATATATATATATATATATATATAGAGAGAGAGAGAGATAGATAGATAGATAGATAGATAACTATAAGTCTCAATAAAAACGACTGTCAAGGTACTGCAGTTACTTTTTTATTTAATTTTATTTTGTTCTGATAATTTGTTTCTTTTCTGCACATAGACTATACAGAAATTTTCAAAATCTTTTGTATCGTTGTACAATTTATACAATTTACGCCCACAAAAGGCAAAAACACAAAAAATAAAGAAAAAAACTTAACCTTGCCAGTCCTTTGTTTTGCTTTTTTTTTTTTATAAAAGATCAATTGCTGCCCAAATAAACAATAAAATAAAATACACTGATGAAATCGTAAATAATATATAGTTATGTTTATTATTTGTGTTGGCAAAAAACAGCTTATCAAAATATTGTAGCTATGACTATGACAAAATTAATAACACATCACGAATTCTATATTGTTTTCGACGGTTTATTACTCACGTCTAATTACATTTTTTTATCAAAAAGTTGCAATTTATATAAATCAAGAGATTCTTTTTGCGTCCGTCCAGGCCAAGACAATAAATTATATACGGCAGTAACGCTTCTGATCGGGAGCTTGGAACGGATCTCTTAATTGCTGTTCTTCTCATGTCCACTCTGATCATTGGTGGTAGCACCTGTTAGTTTCCGAGCTATGGGAATATAGTCAGCAGTTAAAACATTATGGAAGCATAAAAAATTATATTAAGAATACCAGAAATACATTTTTATAGAAGAAATAAATAAAAAGCAATACACAAGATACATTTATGTGAGGAAAAAATTAACCACAATCAATTTTTTGGAAATAAAAGATTAATGCTCACAAGAAAATTAAATTTCGGCATTGAATGACACATAAAATGTTGATATTCTGCTAAAACAACATTTTCTGCGTTGAACAAAAGTGTTTTTCTGGAAAATTATGAAGAGCAGCAAGAAAATATTCGGTAGCATGTCTTTTATACTATTAAAGTTAATTAAAATATTTTTCCTTCGAGTTACTCGGGATTAAATATACTGCATTTATTTTATTCATTAATGGGATACTATCGGAAATTGTGTTCATTAACACTTTATCAAAGCAAGTATTATGAGCAGTTACGACCATAGTATCTACCAGAGTACCTAACAAATGAGGCTGTGTAGATCACTAATATAATATCAACATTCATACAAAGTAATATTTCGTAAATCAATATTATCAGTTATTACCCAGGCAGGTATATTAAAACCGCTTTAAGATGTGAATTTTTAAATTTTATTGTATTCATCTGCTAAAAAGAGCTATATATATGAATATCTATTTTTAGTGAATATCTATTTTTAGTGAATATCTATTTTTACTGAATATCTATGTGGTCAGCGTTTACATAACTTCAAAATCAAATTCTGCTGGAGCTGAATAGTTATCATTACTGATAATGATAATGACCAATTGTCTATTAATAATTCTGCTTAAATTATAACAAAATTATTAAAAATCTCCTGAGAGGTACTCTTTAAAAAGTCACATGATGAAAAATATTGCAAGGAAAGGAGATATCGTATATTATTTGAGATTTTACCTATTTAGTGATGATGACATGAATAATTTAAATACAAATGATTTGCTTGTGATTGATGCTAAAATAAGAAAGAAATTTTTTTGTTGTATTTTCTAAGTTATAACAGGATTTTTATGAGTGTGTAAGAAAAGTTAAATATCAATATACGTGTAAGTTAATTTGCAATTAAAATAACGTATTGTTGAACAAATTGCAATTTTCAACAGAATACAGAAGGGAAATATCTGACATTGAATTTCAAAATTAATTTCTTACAATCACCTTCATCAAAGTCTGAGAAAATTATATTAGACAATTAATCTAAAATTGAAATCCTTGATATCCGATAGTTATGTAATATTCACCCATGTGAGAGATCGATTTTCAATCTCATGTAATATTCAAGATATTGCAAGATGATTCTGTATTCAAACCTTCCACACATCTGACATTGATATGGATGATATCCAACGATGTTTCATTCCAATCATTCGTTACTACGTTCAGAATAAAAAGAGATAATTCAACATTTATCATCATTGCGAAACATCAATGCCCAGCCGAAGTCAAATATACAATTTCGAAATTTTATTTCTTTTGAAGAAATCATGCCTTTTATCATTGGAAGATTCGTGTACCATTATCCTCCAGTACATCTTTCTTCCATTCAGCTTTCCATTCTAAGGAACTACATTTAGTAGATATTAAATTATCAATTGTAAATGTTTATTATTATAATGGAATGTGTTATATTTATCAACCGATAACGGAAGATATAAATTTCCGGAATTATTTCCCAGATTTTAAAATTCTTTCTTTTGTTATAATTCTTCAAAATTTCATTAAGAATAATTTGAAATCTACTATGTCATTTTCTCTGACATTGCATGATAGCCATTTGTCATTGTGTGTAATTTTCTCCTGAAGAATTATTGCTTCCAGCCATACTGTTACGTTTCACCCGTACACAATCGTTCACAAATTACGACGGACTTCAAGAATTATTTAAAGAAAACCTAAAAAAAAATCTTAATCAATGGAAGAGACTAATCGCTTGAATTTGTCACCTTCGTTGTATATTCGCGTCTGGTCGGCTTGAAATATTGTTACGTCGTCGAACAGAAACTGTTCTGGCTAACGTCATTATCGAGAAATTTATTTGTCATTTTACAAGGGATGGATTCTGTCGTTAACCGCCATAGAAAACGTCAAATGAATGACAAGAGTAAGAAATCACAACAAATACGAAAAGAAATGGAGAGAGAAACTGAAAGAAACAAACGAGAAAATAATGTAAACATTTGAGCCGAGTCTAACATAAGAGTTCCAAACTAAAGAAAAAGTAAAAAGAAAAGAGAGAGAGAGAAAAAAAGATCTGCAGAAGTGTCATCATTACTCATCGGTGTCTATTATCGTCCTCGAATTCATCGGTCATTTTCTTTTCTTTGTTCCCAGCACCGAATTAAAGGTGTAATGACCGTTCAACCAGACATCGGGGAGCCAGTATTCAAATCAACCCTGCTAATTAGGCATGAATAAAAACTAATCAGATGTGGTGACACTACTTGATGAATGGTTGTGAAAGTCCAGCGTATGGACACATTATACTCAAGTCTTGCTAATAAGCTAACTCTAAATCTCGTAAAATTTCGAGACAGGTCTTACTTCATAATCACTATTTTTTAGAATTGGCGCTTTATAATCTTCCTTTGCATTACATTACATATGTTTCTATGCTCTATGGTAACTATGTAATCTTGCAAGTGATTTATAAAATATTATCTGACGCTTGCGTAAATTTCTCAATCTCATATAAAATTGGTTGAATTCAAAACAGTTAACATTTCACTACTTTTGGAACATGCAGAAAAACAATAAGTCGTGGATTGTGGCCCCATTACAACGGTTCACATTAGATCACCGAAGTTAAGCAACGCTGAGCTTGGTCAGTACCTCAATGGATGGCCGCTTGGGAATACTAGGTGATAAAAGCTTCTATGTTAGGATTGTGTAATGGATAAAGATTCAAAATTGTTAATCGGAGAGCCGGGTTCTATTTCCTGTTCGGTTCTTTATATTCACTTACACTCAAATACCGTTGGGAAATGTATGTATCCAACTCTTCTCAGCTAGCAATGGTTTAAGTAGCAAGCATTTTATTTTTAAACCATTATTCTCTACAAAAATATTTTTTTGCAATCTAAATATATCTTATGGCTTTAAATAATCCGCATAAGTTTGGTAAGCCGTACAAAATGAAGTAATAGATCGACAAAATTCTGATTCTGATTCTATAAACTCTGCAGATGACTGGGATATTTCTCATCGCATTTATATAGCTCAACTGCCAATAATTGAATTTTCTGCTGTAGGTAAAGGGTTCATTTTATTTATATCATATTTATTTTACTCTCTTCTAGTATCTTTTGTTACCAAGTGTGATATTTGAGAAGAACTCAACAACTTTCTCTTGCTTCCCATATTGTTTGATTTTACTAATTAAATAATCACATAGACAATCAAAAATAATCATGAAAACCATTTTAAAATACATCACAGTAAACTTTCTCACTTGTAGCAGAATTGCTAGTCAGCTGCCCTTAAGGAAATATTTGACATTGAGAAAACCATCAACATTACTATCATACTTCAGTACAACTTTCGAGTGGATTTAACCAAAATAATTTATCTGGGCGTCACCCAGTCAGCAGACAAATACTAATATCCCGACGAGAATTGACGGAAAACAATTTTTTCTCATTTACTGTTTTTTGTTTTGTTTTGTTTTTTTGTTATATTACTGTCATTGCATTCTACAAGGACCAGTCCTTTGAACGACTTTTCGTTCATTCATGCCGATATTGCCAAAGCGTTTTGTTCTGATTTGCTGATTGCATTGCTATCGATCTATTCTACTGGGGCACATTCTGAAGACCAACGTTCTTTTAAGCCGAATAACAATTTGTCAAAGCGTTTTTATTAATATATTTCAATTTGTGTTGATATCAAATCGTTTTCTTAGTATAAATCATACCAACGGGCAACATTTGAATAAAATATTTTTAAACTTATTTTATCAGCTATATTATCAATTCACGTCCAGGTTCGTGTCCGTTGGTGATAATTTTTCTTAAATAACCTGACACTGAAAAGGAATTTCATTTTCTTATTTTAAATTTGTATTTCTCTAAAGAAATGGAATGAAAGAAAATATTCGTATCGATAATAGAAAAACAGTCCTTTGATAAATTTTAAAGATGCCTAAGTCGATCATTGCTGTATTCATGTTATCTGCTTACGCTGTTCAAAAATCGTTTGACTCAATAAGAGAATGGTTCGAAAACTAACGAATAGAATCTAACCTGTCTACAGATTTAGTTCACGCGTTTAAAACGCTTCAGGCTCTAAAAATGGGACGTGCTGAAAGAATTGCAGTTAATTATACACATTGTTATGCAATAACATGAGAGTCTTTTGACAAAAACGACTAAAAGTCTAGAGACGACAATGAAAGTAACTGGAGCCTGACTTAAATGAGATAATTCATTATGACGGTTACATTGTCAGATAACAATAACTTAGATTTGTATTATTACGAAAAGACATACACGCTATTTTCCTGATCAACAAACGAAGGAATGTTTATCGTATTATTTTATGACGGCCATTATTTATATATCTGATACAAATATTTACAAATACGTTACAAAATTATATTCACTCAAAATTAATTATTCCACAAGCCAAAAAAAAACCTCTTGTCGAGAATTAGCAGCGTCTATTTACCTATATTAATTGAAACAATCCACTTCTGTTTTTACTTTAACAGCTCTCATATCACTTATCATGATTGTGAGAGTGTTTAATATTTAAATAATGTATGTCTGTTGATCTATCTTTAAGGATAAAAAGACTTCAATATATTTCGCAAATAAATTTTTATTTTAATTACGCAATCAAAAAATATCGTCAAAGAAAATGGTTCGGATATTTGAATTTTTGAGTCATTTTTAAATTCAGATTTAATCTGTTGTGTTCTTTGGCACATGAATGACCTAAGAAAATGTATTAATTTATCTCTTTTTTGTCTACTACAGCCATACCTAGCTCAATGGCCTTTGGTGGTAATGTATCTAAAAGAAGGAAAACTGAATAAAAAACATGGTGATGTAATCGGAAAACAACATTACTTTATTTCCAAAGATGACATGTTAATTCAGATATAATAAATAAAGGGATATCTTGTCGAGTGATGAACGCCTACATTTTGAAAGGAGGTATATTTTAAAAATCTAACTACAAAAAATATGTTGAAGATCCCGTGACTTTACCAAAATATCCAGAGCAGCAATTTATCGCTGGAAATCCGCTTAGATTATTTGATTTTGAATGCGATGAGATTACATACTATGAAAAACATAAAAAAGGCGGTGCTTTTTAGAAGTTACCATTTTGAGGATCTGTTCACACTTTAGAGAAGTAAACAATGAAGATGAGGAGGACTGCATCCAGTTAGGCTAAAGCAAGTGAGAAATAACCAAAATGCTTCCTTGATTTAATGACAGTGGTAATGTGCTGATAAAACACCTGTATCCGAAATCGATATAACATATAATTTATTTTTCTCTTCTTCTCTAATAACTCTTCGTGAGTTTACGTTTTTACGTTCAAGGTTGATATTTTCTTTAAAATCAAACTTAAATCATTTACACACAATATTTTCGTATTATCTGACGAGACGATTAGATAAAGACGATGAATGTTGAAAATATGGGAACTTAGTTCAGAATTTTGCTTATAGTCCAAATATAGAAAATCATTGTTTGACATGATATATTTTACCTAAAAAATAATTGAAAAAATTAATTGAATATGTTTTACTTAACTTCTGAATTGAGAAAGTAATAGTTTTATAAATATTGTTCATATTCTTCGTACTTTTTGCTATCAAAAGTTTTCGGACATTTTCAATTGTCTATCGACGTGGCTAACCAACGAAGAATTTCGTACTGAAATTTTTATCTAATCTGCAGAAGAAGATTGTTTTTGTACCGTTAACAATATCATGGAATAAATAGTCTTATTTTGTTTTTGCTACAGCTTACAATGCTTGTGCTGTTTTTCTTCAGTCAATTTTTACTACTTGACTAGGCATTGAAATCAAAATTACTATTCCAGAAAAGCTCAAGAAACTGAACTTTGTCCGGTGTTCCTGAGGTTTACCCTTGAAAGTTTATACGGACAAGTGTAAGCGAAAAGCTGATGTTTTATGATAATAAGAGTAAAGATGAGCATATTAGCCCGGCATAAATTATGTTAATAAACCAAATAGATTTGATATTTTACAAGTATTGTTTTCTGAATTTTACCAGAGAAGATATTTTAATCATTATTAATTAGTCCAGAATGATTTCCTCGTGTGATCAGGAATCTAACGCAGAAAGACAAACTGGAAGCATTAACATTATAATGAATTTAAAACAATGACTACAATGAAATTCGTCCTAACAAATGATATAAGATTATTATATTCATTTTTTAAACATTTGGAAATATATTTTTAATGTTCTTGAATTACTCATGAAGGAATGTGACAAATAAGAAATAAGAAAGTAGTAATAACTTCTATTCATTTTTCAAGGAGATTTATCGCGCACATGGCAAAAAAGAAGAGTGTTTGAAAAAAGAAGGTGTTCAGTTACAGAGCAATATTCTTGCACGCACATGCCAGTAGAGGAAGACGATTTGGTGATAAATAAATGCCGTACAAGGCTCAAATAGTCGTTTGTCAAACAGCACATTGTTATCAATGTTTAATCATATTAGTCACGGTGTAACCAAACTTTACTTCAATTACGGGATTTTAAACAAGATTCGTTGAATGCCATTCGGTGCAATATATAATTTTTCTTTCATTCATACATTCATATCAGAATCCATTTTCTTAAATTGTTTTCCTATTTATCAAGTTAACATTAACCAGATAGCTGTTAACTTAGAAGAAATAATATATTGTTGTAGGAAAAATATCTATCACCTACTGCTATAACACCATTATTCGCTACTTATGTCGAGTTTAAACAATGAAATAGATGTTATTACATTCGTATCGACACTCGTAAATATTCTTGTTTAAACTGAAGTATATATTATATAAATGACAGTTTCTTGGATGACATATGTGGATATGTTTCTCCAATAATATTGGACATATTTGATCACTGATTAAAGACAGATTACTGAATTCTGATTTTCTCTTAAGGAAGACCAAATCTAATTTGATATTTGGCACTGTAATATCCGTTCAATAATCTCATATCTAATTATAGATTACCGATTATTTATAATTATTATTAATGTTTTCTATTAAAACAAGGATTGAAATAGAACTTTCTTTGCCAGTGATTTTCGTGTGAATATATTGAAGATATCATAAACTCTTTGGAAAGATTGTTGCATCCTCTGTTTTATTTTCTATTCCTGCCTTTCTAGAGTAGTTCTAGAATAAGTAAACATGACTTATAATTTCGAAAGCATTCATGGGACAAATATTGTTTTAATTGTTTTATTACTTGTGAAACACTGTTGAACAATTTTCCATTCATTTAAAATAAAGATTTCTTAAAGTATATTGTAACGATATATAAATTTAATATGCTCAGAACTCTTCTTACATTGACTAAACATGAATTATTTCAGCATTTCAATGTGGGTTGTAAGCATAATCCATCCTTCTGTTACTTAATGCCATAATGCTTCATGTCACATTTGGCTATCTAAAATTATTAGAAGTAGTCATAAGTTGTTAATTTCTGACAGGAATTCAAAGTATCAGAAAAGTAATTTGATATTTTATAATTTGTAACTAATAAAAACATTTGCCGAAAATAAATTTAATTGAAGATAAAATTCTACATAGCTACAAAAGTATTAAAACTACAAAAAATGAAATGGTGTCAGAATTTTATAAAACAATTATTTCCTTT